GCTCCGTAGATAGGCCTCGGGTTTGAGGCCGGCGGGCGGTGGGCGCGGGATGCTTGAGCCTCCTCTCTCTTCCCAGTGACATCGTCTTTAAACCCTGCGTGGCAATCCCTGACGCACCGCCGTGATGCCCAGGGAAGACAGGGCGACCTGGAAGTCCAACTACTTCCTTAAGATCATCGTAAGTGCGGGGTGGACCGCGGCCGCCATCGTGCTCCTCGGCCACGGGCTAAGAGGGCCGTCAGCTCCCAGGTGCCGGGCTGCTGAATCGGGCCATTTTAGGCAAATCTCACTGAACCTTTCAGGATTTCCAAAGGTCTGCGTGCCAACCCCACCTGTTGCACATACACAGGCTCGGGCAGTTACTGGCTCCCAAGAGCTAAGTGGCATTAATTCATTCCCAGGTCTGTCTGGCATTCAGACGGCGCTCATCATACTCTTACTTCTCTGCTCCCATCTTTGGGAAGGTGAGAGGCAGTGAGTGACTCATAAAAAGTCAAGTTGGTGCACATTTAGGTCCTGCCAGTCAAGAAACCCAATGTCTAAATGAATGCTCCCATTACGAAGGCCTTGGGGTGGGTCCTCCCTGCTTAACAGAATGGTACAATAATCCCACACCCACAACCCAGATTTTACAAGTAGGGTTTTGTTGTATTTGCTTTATGTCGTGTTTTGAGCGCTGTAAATCCAGCCTTATGTGGAATGTTTTTTGCTGTTAAGTCATTTTAGTGAGTCAGAAACATCTCATAATTGGGAAATGTTAAAAAATGAGAGCTAAAATTAAAATTTTTCTGATTGAATGTACCAACCCAGTTTTTACTATCCATACTCAGCAAGCAAATCTTTGACAAATCTGTCAGTGTTACGACCCAGGTGGCTCCTGGGGGAGGAGTTGGCCCAATGTGAGTCACTTCAAAAGCATAGAAGAAAGGGAGTGAGATGGAAACCAGCCATTGTTGGGTTGGTTTCTCCTGATTTTTAAAAATTTTTGTTTATTGATTTTTTTAGAGAGAGAAGCATCAGTTTGCTCTTCGGGTTGGTTTCTCCTGACTTTTAAAAATTTTTG